AGCTAATTTGCACACAGCAGTGTCGCACAAACAGCCATGAACCAAAATTATTATTTTTCTTATCTCGGGGATTGTTGGCCAGGACACAGAAGAAACTCCCTTCTCTTTTCGAATGATGGCGTGGGATTTTAACATCAACCTGAACAGACAAGATGGGGCCTTGCTTTAACGTTTCTTCCAAAAGTACAGTATCGAGCCCATAGAAATATATACAGTACTTGACAAATACATATAGCAGCTTCTTCAAGAAATGGCTTGTTGCATAGACAGAGAATTAGCAAACTGCTAAACATTCTCCAAGATTNAAAAAAATACTCTATCATCCTAAGATTTGGAAGACTTTATTTTGCCCATGTTCCTGAAGTTGGTAGCAATGTTTCAGTAGTGTGTATTATTATACAGTTGATCAGAATATTATTTTAATAATTATAGATTTTGTAATCTAATTACAAATAAGTCACAGTTAAATCAGAATCCCAAGCATTTCCTCCGTCTTGGTAAATTATAATGTAGAGGTTTAAAATTGCGAACATTGATTGTTTCGTTTTACATTTTTATCCCCTATTCTGCCCATCCTCTTGTCCCTCCTTGAATTATTGTGCTAAAAATGTAGTTACTTAGTCCCACCTCATGTCATCTATTTCACTCCTAACATCATTGAAAGGAAACCTTTATATAAGAAGAGGAGCATATCGTAAAATAAACTACTTCAGCATCTTGATCAGTTCTTTGAGACGTCTAGAAGACATGAAAAGCGCTATATCAAATGCAAGGATGATTATTATTATTATTACTCTTTCTGCACAGACAATACTGTATGAACAATTTATTTTGCGTCCTTAGTTTAATATGCTGCAGTTTCAGTTACATTGACTTGCAGAATCTCAGGGTGAGATATGTACATTGAATTGTTGTCACAGTTGTTCTTTATCGATTCCTTCCCTACTTATCTCTTTTTCTGCCTTTACCCAGATCTTTAACCTGTAGTTCATGTGTGGGCTTTACAAAAGATTAATTAGCTGTCAGTTTTTTTTTAAATTGCGATTTTCTTGTTATTTAGGATTTTTTTTCATATTAAGTGGCAAAACAAAAGTGTGTAGCTGGAAACAGTTGCCAGTTATCTCATTAAATGGATTCTGTTGGTTACCAGAAGCGCAGAAAGTCGTGAAGTAATTGCCCGGAGATGTCAATTGGCAAAGGATTTCATACAACCTAATCCATAGTTCAGCAAGTAATATTTAATTTGTTCACTTCAATGTTCAATCTTGCCGAGGAGTGAGGGGGTGCTGTTTATCCCTGATAATTGTAGAGTCTCTTTAAAAAAAATTGCTAATTCTAACATATCAGCAGCATCTTTCAAAGTCACGTGTGGTTACAGACAATGCAACATGTTCCTATGGAATAATGAACCAACGACAGCAATTTACATTTGTCAAATGCCTTTCGTGTTAGGAGGATGCCTCAAGCACTTCACACAACTGACTGGGAGTCTGAGCTTGGGGGTAGGATAAAGGTGAAAAAAGGAGGTCAGAGAAATAGGCCTTCAGGCAGGGAGGAGGGAGGAATGGCTGAAAGCTTACAAACTAATGGTAGGGTAGGTTGGTACAGGCAGGGGATGTGAAGCAGGCTAGTGTTCGGCAAGTGAAAATATTGTGTACCATACAAATGTCATTTAAAATTTCTGCCTCGTTCTATTACAGACAAGTTGGCAAGGTTCAGACTTTAGGAATGCTGACATTTTCTACTATCTTTTGGTGATGTGTTTAAAATCCCATTTGCTCATATTGCTCATGTGCAATATTCTATTGCATTATTCCAGGGCTAAAATTAGGTTTACATTCTCTAATGGTATTACTCCATTCGTACATTTAACTGCTTTCAGTAAAGACTACACAATAATAGGTTGGTTACATAAAATCTCAACCAACTATAACAGTGCAGGCAGGAAGCCAGCTTGCTGCAAAACACTGACTTGCTTTTTTCAGGCTTACAAATTGGCCGTACAAAAAGAGGTCATCAGATTTCCACTGACAGAAGCGACTGACATTGGTGGCGACCCGATGACCTGAAGTTGCACATTTTTTAGTGCACAGAAAAGCCAGCTGTAATTTTCAGGCTTTCCTCCACATTTTTTTTAGTCATTAAATGATGGGCTTCACACCACAACCACGTCATAAGCAGAACAGTGTTATAATGAAATGTTGTAACACATTTCTGCCGCATGAGTAAGAGACACAGGAGCGAAGGGAACATCACTAAATACTATTGTCAAGTTATATGATGATTGCATACACTTTTTAGAAGTAGGTTTGGTGGAAATTGATGTTTTTTTCTGACTTTCAATGAAAATTGTTGCACTTGGAACACATTATTATTATTATTATTATAAAACAAATAAATCAAGATTCATATAATTGAACCAAGCTTGTGTTTCTGACACCCATTGGTGAGTTATTCATGATAAGCACTTGATCTTTACACTGCTCCTCTTCTCTCTTTTTCACCTTTGAATCCATAAGGTGTCATTTTTAAAAGTAATTATTCATATATTTTATTGATTTATATTCAGAGTCCTGTAGCTCAGTGGTTAGAGCACTCGCCTCGCAAGCAAGAGACTTGGGTTTGATTCCTGGCAAGGCGAAACTTTGGGCAAGTTTCCTTATTCCACACCCCTGATAAGAATCCCTTGAGAGAGAGAGAAAAAAATAATAAATTGGTCGCTTCAATCCACGACTGTTTGTGGGACACTGCTGTGTGCAATTGGTTGCCACATTTCTCCCACAAATACACAGTCAATTCACTTTACAGTATATTCTGTGAAGCGCTTTGAGACGTCTAGAAGACGGAAAAATCGCAATATCAAATGCAAGGATTATTATTATTATTATTTGTTTGGATCAACTTATGGAACAGTAACCGCAATTTATGTAGTGCACCTTCCACATCGGAAAGACCTCTCAAAGCACTTCAATGGAACTGTCTGTGGACCTGAGCTGCGAGCTGAAGTGGAAATGTTGTTTGAAATTGCGATCAAAGAGATGTTTCTTGAGGAAGGTTTTGAAGATGGGAAGGGAGGGGGCGAGTTGGAGGGACTCAGGGATGGAGCTTTAGAGAAGAGGGGCATAATGGCTCAAAGCCTTTGGTGGATCACTTTCCGAAGGAATAATCCCCTCACAAAAAAATGTGATCACTCAATCCATGACTGTGGGACATTGTTGTGTGTAATTGGCTACAGTGTTTTGCGCAAAATGTATGGCTTCCACGGCCTTGCGCCTTCCTACTTATGTGACCTGCTAATCCCTTATCAACCTGTCCTCTCCCTCCACTCCCCAGGCTCCGGCCTGCTCCATGCCCCCCACCCGTCCCACCCCACCATCGATGGTTGGGCCTTAAGCCACTCCACCCTCACCCTTTGGAACTCCACCCCACATTCCCTTCGCCTCGCTCCCTTGCGTCATTCAAGGCATGTCTCAAGATCCTCCTCTTCGACCGTGCCTTCGGCCACCCACCTACCCTCCCTGCCCTCCACCCTCCCTTACCCCAACCCCCCCACTTCCCTGCTCGGGTCCAAATCCCTGAATGTCCAGTGCCTTGGGATGCTCTCCCGATGGGAAGGGTGCTATACAAATGTAATTTTGTATTGTATACAGTCAATTCACTTTTACAGTATATTCTATAAAGTGTTTTGAGATATCTCAACAACGTAATAAGACACTATATCAAATGCAAGGATTATTATTATGATTGCAAAAAGAAACTACAAATATCGATGCCTTACTTATCATGTGTGCACATCAGTATTGAAAGAAACTAAATAATAACTCACTAAAGGAATTGCAACAATAACTAATGAAAGAGAATGATCCAACATATTTTTAGAACTTCAACGGCTGTTTTTTAAGTAGATTGCTTCATTGTAATTGTGAGTGATCATCATCTCTTTCTGGAATAAGAAATAAACTGATCAGTTTTTTGGCTAATCTGACATTTCAGACATTTTAATAAGCGCAGCACTGAAACCAAGATCCAAGCACACCCATCTCTGTATAATAGTTTCATACAGAAAATTGCCTGTGGTGATGTGCTGTCAGAAAAAAAACTACTGAGGTAGACATGAAGGCATCAGGAATCGAGTGAATGTTGAAAGAAAATAATTTAATTGAAATTGAATTTTATTTTTTAATAGAACTTAAGTGATAAGAAAACAATATGCACTTCCGAAGTGCTTTTCACTTGGGTAACATTTTGAAGCTGAAATCTTTGCAATCAATGGTGGGGCAGGGTTGCAAGAAATGTGCAGCACACCTGGGTTTACAAAGCAGAGAGAGGAAGCAGGAGAGTGAGACTAGAGGGGTATTACAGATATACAGTGGGGCAACGCACGGAAGGATTTGAGAGGCAGAATGAGAATCAATAATGACATTGATAGACGGTAAAAATTACACTTACAAAGTGCTGTTATTATTCAAGTTATTATTATTGTTCATGTAAAAATGGATATATTTTAGAACCGGAATTCAATATTTGTGAAAATCTAATAATGTTGATTCCTATGGATCCTGATAAGAATGTACCTTCATTTCCGAAACTTCATCCAGATGGAAATAATAGCTACATTTTATCTTCGTACTGTATATGGTTTGTGAAGTTATCCGTTGTACTGTGTTAAATGTTTACACCAAACACGCAGCACAACACATAACACATAGTGTTGAATTGTTTGGTTATTCTTTTCCATCTAATGGCCCAAAGTACAATGCACAAATAAAGTACAAAGTAAAATAACGCTGATATCATTAGTTCCGGCACAGGCACAATGGGCCGAATAGCCTCCTTCTGTGCTGAAATATTCTATGATTCTAGATCACACCAACCAATCTTTCTCTTTCAGATGCTTTTCAATTCACGGTGGATTTCAGCAAATTTGTGGGTTTTTTTATTTTAGTTTCCTAGCATTTTTGTTTTCTGTTTATTCTGACATTTGCTTATCTTTGTTGTAGAACATCACATGCAAGGGCCAAAGCTGAAGCAGCAGATCAGGCTGCACAAGGTGCACGCCAGGAATCAGATATTGCAAGAGGAGTTGCCAGGGAGCTTTCACCCACCTTCCACCAGCCAGGTAAATCAGAAAGTTAACGATTCAAAAGAAATTAAAACCAACACCATAAACCTTTTTTTTTGGAAAGTATTTCTAACTTCAGAGACCATCTCTTTGATGGGAGAATCGTTTTTCTTTGCACATCTTGCATCGTTTTAATCCACGTAATGGACAGATTTATTGTTGGGATCTAGGGTGGAATTGTTTTCAACAAAACTCATCAAATCTCAAGTTACTTACAATAATAATAATAATAATAATAATAATCCTTGCATTTGATGTAGCGCTTTTCACGTCGGGAAGACGTCCCAAAGCGCTTCACAGAACACACTGTAAAGTGAATTGACTGTATATTTGTGGGTGAACGCGGCAGCCAATTGCGCACAGCAATGTCTACAGTTGTAGATTGAAAATGACCAATTTATTATTGTTTTTGGTTTTGGAGGGATTATTATTAGGTGTGTGGAGTAAGGATACTTGCCCAAGGTTTCGCCCTGCCTGGAATTGAACCCAGGTCTTTCGCTTATTATTATAATTACAGGTGTTGTCTGAACCACAGCGTAATTGTTCTTAAAATCAATCGCGCGGTATATTCTCCTTGCAACAACAAATTTGCTTTCAAATTTATGTGGTGAATGGTTTGTTCTTGGTCATTTTTTGTCAAGATTGTGATTGTCAGTGTGTTACCTTTTTTGTAGATACCACTGTATCAATGAATACAATATAAACCAACAAACTAATGGATTGGTTTTGGGGGAGGTTATCTCTCCTTTTGTACTGAATGCTATTAGATTAATATATTTGCATTGCTCTAAAGACACATGGATGATGATAATGTAGATAAATGTGATGGGTATGCATGGAGAGGCAGATAGTAGCCATAAAGACCTCTGGCACAATTCCAAGGCAAAGAAAATACAGCTTCTAAATCTCACAAAAGAGAGATTTTCAACCTCTGATTTAGTCCATGTCCTGAACCTGTCAGGAAAGAATCTATAGTTTACAATTAATGTATTTTTTTAATCTCTTCTGTAACATACACATGTTTACAATGGAAAATGATACCAAAACCCAGTTGGCAAATATAGGGACAGTAAATTACTTTGACATGCAAGTTTTTTAAAGAGAGAAATAATAATAAATAATCCTTGCGTTTGATATAGTGATGGATCAAGTTCAAGATCCTCGTCTCACTTTCGAGGCCATCCATGGCCTTGCCCCCTCCTACTTCTCTGACCTGCTGACTCCCTACCAACCTGCCCATTCCCTCCGTTCAATGGGCTCCGGTCTGCTCCATTTCTCCCACCCGACCTGCCCTCCCATCGACAGCCAGACATTCAGCCTCTCTGCCCCCACACTCTGGAACTCCATCCCACGGTCCCTTTGCCTCGCTTTCTCCCTTGCCTTCTCTTCAATCGTGCCTTTGGTCGCCCTCCAACCTCTCTGCCTTCCCTCACCCCTACCCCACACCTCCCCCATGCTCGGTCCCCGACACTTGACTGTTCAGCGCCTTGGGACGTCCTCCCGACGTGAAAGGTGCTCTATAAATGTAATTTTGTTGTTGTTGTTATCACGCCTTTGAGACATCTCGAAGCGCTTCACAGAAAATACTGTAAAGTATTGACTGTATATTTTGTGGGCAGTAAGGCACTATATCAAATGCAAGGATTATTATTATTATTAAATACCACTGATTTAAAGCATATTTATGATTATAAGAATATGTAACCTTTTCCCATCCATTATCTTTGCGCGCACTCAGCAGTGTCCCACAAACCGTCATGGATTGAAGAACACTAAGTACACAACTGAAAGACACTATTTCAGAAAAACATGCAGTTCACCTACAAAATACAGTCACTACAATTTACAGTAAATCCTGTGAAGTGCTTTGAGACATTCTCTCACCATGCTTAACAGTATTCAAAACAAAATATGTATGTCACCCACACATGACAATTTCCCTGTGTATGGAATGGAATGCGCATTCTCTCTCTGGAGGGATCCAACCTGCTTACCTAATTCCAGAGAGTATTAGTCACAGGTTGGCAAGAGTCAATCTAAAGAACCTCAGAATGTGATGTTGGAGTTTAACATAGCTTGAGAGCGCTGTCTAGCAAGCGTCCTGCTGCTTATCCAGCTAGGATCTTCTTTCCCATTAGTGCCCTGGCTTGCAGGGTTAACAGGAGTTGAGTGGGAAGATTCCCAGCCTCCAGAGTACTTTGTGTACTTTTGTATATCTGAAAATAAGACTTCTATATACAAATCAGCAAATCATTACCATGGATTTGGAAGCTAATGCGTGCTTTGTACCTGTGAATGCCGGATGTAAAATAATTTGGCTCCAATTGACGGGGAACAAATGTCTCAATGTGGGAGGAAACTAATATCTTTAGATTGCAAGTAAGATTTCAACTAAAAAGAAAGCTTTTCAATTACAAAGAAAGAAGGTGCATTATATGATCAAAACCTTTTCATGGATCAAATAGTGAATAGCACTTTTTCTCATTCAGTTTCTTGAGTAGCTTGTCCATCACTTCAAGCGGAGTGACCTTAGATTCTCTGATACATTTACTAGACCTGGAGCCCTATAGCTCAGTGGTCAGAGCACTCGCCTCGCCAGCAAAAGACCTGTGTTCAATTCCCGGCAGGGCAAAACCTTGGGCAACTTTCCATACTGATAATAACACACCTGATAATAATCTCTCACGAAAAATAATAATAATAATAATTTGGTCACTCAATCCACAACTGTTTGTGGAACACTGCTGTGCACAATTGGCTGCCACGTTTCGCCCACAAAAATGCAGTCAATTCACTTTACAGTATATTCTGTGAAACGCATTGACACGTCTAGAAGATGTGAAAAGCGCTATATCAAATGCAAGGATTATTATATTATTTATTATAGACCACACTGAAAAGTCAACATCCAATCTCTGTGTTTAATGAATGCCTTTTTCGTTTCCTGTTTATTGTTACAGCTAAGTAGAACATTCAAAGTAAGTGTTTGGAGGACCTGTTCTACTCTTCATAATGTTTGAAATGAAACATAATTGTTTTGTAGATTCCCTGCCTCCCCCTGAGTAAATGTGATATCATATGCAGCAGTTTGTCGCCTGCACAAGATGAGTAATTTTACTCGATATTAAAAAGAAAATGATTCAGCCAAACGATCCGTTTTATGAAATTGAAGAATTAATATTTAAGATATAATTGCACCTAAATTAGAAGTGCAGCCAAATGACACACTGACTATCAGAACACAGTTTAAAAGTATTTTTTAAGAGCTGCATTTTATGTTTGGAACAAGAAAGGCTATTCGGTCCATTTCCACTCACCATCAATAAAGCACTGAACTTCTAGTTCAATGAGGCACTATATTGAAAAAAAGCTGTCATTTGAATTCACCTATCATTGGGCCTTCCACATGAAGTATTCCTACAGCGCTGTGCCTCGGGAAGAGGGGATAAAGGCAGGTTTGCCCTGCCTAAAAAAATAAACCTACTGTTTGCTAATTGAAATGTGGGATTAACAGCAGACTCAAAGTAGGCCCAGATCATTTTGAAACCATTTCTATCTGAAAGAGGAGGCAATGTTGAGAGAGGAAGATCTGAAAGGAACTAAAATGAGAAGATGGAGGGATGGAATGAAAGAATGGTTACAGCTTAAATCCAGCAAGTCAGTCACATTCTGAATTCCAACCATCCGATTTAGTAAGGTTTGTTTTCTTCTTCCTCGCCATTGGGCATTTACTTCTGTCAGATTGTTTCCTGCTGTTCCAAGGACTTATTATTAGGAACATGAATCTCCCGGGGACAACAATACTGTGATTGACAACTATTTAGAGCAGCTTTGTGGAGCCTTTAACACTACAGGCTTTCTAAGGGAAGATAAAAACCTGAAACTTTAAACTACTTAAACATTGTTAGTTAATCAGTAATGATAACTGTTATATGATGACATTCTCTTTTGTTCATATTCCTTTCTATTTAATATTCCTACCTACTTTTAAAGTATTTTCATAATCACAACGCTTCATTTTATCCTCGACAAAAAGGAGGGTGAGGCCTCAAGCAAGGAAACAGAGTAAAATTTTATTTTGCTTTTACTGAAGAAAATTCTGGAGAAGATTGAGCTCCTGTTGTTAATGATTCTAAATTGAAATAAGCTGTCATTTCTGTTATTCTAAACAAATATACTATATTCAGTCCATCTGCTCTTGATAGCTTTGTTGTATTTTGCTCATTTAATGGGTGATATTCTCCCCCTCTGAGTCACAACCTTTACATTTTAGAAGAAACTTCATTGTAATGTTGGAAATTTAAATTAATATTTGTTTTGGCTTGCGGATATCCTGAGCAAATCCCTTTAATTTCAAATTCTAAAACAATAAAAGCTCATCTGGCTTTTAATAGCTGTAATTTATTAGCTTAATTTAATATTTCTGTAGGCCAGAGTCAGAGGAGTAATTTGAATATTGATATTCCCGACGTGAAAAGCGCTATATCAAATGCAAGGATTATTATTATTATTATTATTATTATTATTATTATTTGGGTGAATATAACAAGAAGATGCAAAGTTGGACCATGAGACCGTAGTTCTTTTCATACTGTAGAATGGATGTAAATTATGTGGATTCAAGTCTGAGGGCATGTTTAATGGCAATTGTTCATTGCCAAGTTTGATTAAAATCAGAAACATTTACTGTGTGAGAAAAACTTTGCTGTATGACAATATAGAGTTGCATAACAAAGGTCTCACTGAGTAAACATAGTAAGAAGGTTTTATGATGCAGATGATAGCAATCTTCTGACCCAGTGGCAGAGTACTCCCAATTTATCTACTTGTTGATAATTTGTAGCAGTAGTAATAGCAATAATCCTTGCATTCGTTAAAGCGGCTTTCATATCTGGAGGACGTCTCAAAGCACTTCACAGGATTCACTGTAAAATGCAGTAACTGTATTTTGTGGGCGAATATGGCAGCCAATTCGCACGCAGCAGTGTCCAACCCCT